TGATATAACTTACATACAAAACCACTGGCCTGGAGATGCGTCTCCCCCCGTCAGTCGTCAGTAAAAAACGCACTATTATCTTCCAGACGGCGTCACCGCTCTGGCAGTATCACCGACTCAGCACCCGCTGACTCCCCCCCCCCCCTCCCCACCCCAACCTCTGCTGACGTCATCAGGCCAATCGCCACCAAGCAGCCGGCCGGTCTCGGCAATCTTCAGCGATCAGCGCAATGTGAACGCCGTAACTAGGACGACCCCTCCGCGGGGGGGGGGGGTGCTGACAGGCACCGGCTCAGTATATGTGAGGGCATCGGCTGCTGGGGAAAGGATGTGGACACCCGCAGTCGTGGAGTGAATGTTCTTCATATTCATCACTCTTTCTTTTCCTCCCTCGCTCTCTTTCCGTTTTGTTCTGACTGTTCTTTTTTAATATTTCCTCTTCTTTTTATGAAATAAGCCATTCAGAGCCCAGAGGAAAATATATTTCTCTACACACTGCAATTTCGCAATTTCTGATGACAACTCAACTCGAGGACGTGGACAATTGAAGACGGAGATTCGAAGCACGGGCACGACGGGGGATTGAACCCAAATTTGGATGCCGAATTAGTAAAGCAGCCATTCGGGAGATTAGCATGCTGATTCACTTATCGGTTCATTTGAATAGTTTCTTTGATGAATTTCTATGATTATTCTAGAAATTGTTAACAACTAGCTAAATTAAGATATAAAAACTTCAGGTACCTAACGGCTAACTGACAACTAACTAAATATCACTCCATAATTTATATGTGTTTCGTACTTGACATTTTGTTGGCGGGCAATCCATTTCTGCAGTATTTCTCAGCCCGATATGCATTAAGTGTCGGATGTTCAATTTGACATTCAATCACACTGACGTGCTGAGCACTGAGGGCAAAGCTGTCCAATTCATGCAAAGGTCGCTGTACTGAGAGAAACTAACCTGCACTGCCTGGACCAGACGGAGACTGGTGTTTACTGATGGCCCGATCACAGCGTAAGTATTGGCTGGTTGGTCTGTTACGTCAACGTGCTTTGGTGCTTATGATCATTTACGTTTTTCTTTCTCACAGCGTGCCCAAATGGTGATATCTGGTTTCCCACACCCAGAAATCGGGCGATGTAGTGTAAGGCAACGAGCCACGGCTCAAATTATCGTCCTTCTTGAAAGCTGTTTCCTTGCTTCTTGCTCAATCAAAACGTGTTTTACTCCATGCTTTAGACAGAGGATCCTACGGTAACCATAACATTTCAAAATGCTTCGTCGCAGCAAAAGGCATGTATCGCCCATTGCTCGAGCACAGCTTGTTCAACGTTCAGCGCTCACGCATTCCACCGGCCTCACCAGGGCGGCCGCCTGACTACGTATACTGCGCCGGGTAGACAGGGAAGGGCTGCGGCACAGCCTACCAGTGCAGAGCGGCCCGGCGCCCAGCACCGGGAACGGAGCACGCCGATTAGCACGACGGTGCGTGAACTGCAGAACAGCCAGAGCCAGAGACAAAGGTGGCGAGATATTTGGGCGTAACGCAAGGCAGATGCGTGCTTATATTTAAAACGTCTTTTTCCCTTTTGCATATATACCAAAACATGTCATTCCTTTGAGCGGGTAAAAATCGAGAAAGTCGATATGTATAGCATCAAAGTAGCCTCGGTTCAGCCCAAGGCACCCAAAAACACTTTATCCAATATCCTTTTTTATGGCCTTAGCATGAGCTTATTGCGCACAGGCACCCTAAAAGAAAGCGTAGTAACGAAAGCCCTCTCCACCTCAAATTCCCACTAGCGTCTTCATCACCCCCCCCCCCCCCCCCAGCGCCTTGGCGACTGAGCGGCGGGCTCATGGACTGTAAGTGCTGCCGTCGTTGTTCTCACTTCGCTGGAAGAGATATGTATTCACTTCTCGGCAATACCATCAATTGCCCACCGGCCGCATCTAACTACTGTAGAAGAGTGATATACAGACCACGGTATTGGCATACAATGATCCCTAATGCGGGGAGTGAGGAGCGGCAAAGCCGGGGTAATATGATGCCCCGCTGCTATTGAGTGGTCATTGTGAAGATCATTGCCGTCCATTAGGTTATAGCTATTGGGAAGAGGTGAGGTACAAAAGGAACAGACATGCATCCCGAGCGGCACGCGAACCCGAACAAAGCTTATGCCATTGGTACCGTTACTCAATAATGTAGGCGACCAGCACCTTAGCTCCATATCACCTACCGATGGCATCGGATATTTTGAATTATTCATGCAATATGGACGTTCCCGCTTCATGTGCAGTCCCCTATTAGCATTATTGGAAGGAATAACCAGCTACCGCTTATCTATAAGCAATCGCTATACTTGCACAAATATATTTTTCTATAGGTACTTGGTCTGTCAATAAAAGTCATAACTAATTAAGGGTAGGTGATTAACGATACCTCGAGGTACATTACATATATTAACGGTACCTTATAACGCTATGGTAACCCAACCGTTTACATACAAAAATAATAAAGGCGCATGATGATCTAAATGTTACATAACTATTGTGGCTTTATTGTAGACATTATTACTTTAGTACGTTGCCTACATTTATTTCAATAATTCATATTTTATTCGAGAAGTGCAACAATACGATAATCAGATAGGTAGGCATTCCTCTCCCTCCCTCTGATCCCAATATTCAGGCATAATGAACAAAAAATAAAACAATAAATGTTGGGAATAAGGCTCATAAAAAGACAACCGGATATGACGTAAAAGTGACGTCACCTTTACCATTTTAGAACATAAGCACGTACGTCCTCGAGAATCGCTTACACCATAACCCAGGAAAAAAAAACTTGAAAATGTAATTGTTTAATTATCATTCAAACGTCTGCGAATATATGCAATTCAGGCATCTCATATGAAGCGAGATTACTGATGTCACGTTAACGTAGACAATGCAGGAGGATGCCAGCGCATCCGCTCGAGATGATGCGACACTTTCAGCCACCGGGGGTTTTCTTTTATTTATGTCAACTCAATTCCCTTTCTCAAGGCCGCCTCGGCGACCGGTATGACCTGACTGGCCGCCAGTTCAGATCTACACTGAATCTCGCCATGCCCTGTGTCCTGGGACAATACCGATTGAAGTACAATTTCCTAGTTCTTCAGTGCAGACGTTTGGTGATGGCATACATGATGTCAATGATTGAAAACCACAGCTCCGCTTGGTCAATGACGATGACAAGTATCCACGCAGTGTCGGTTTGACTAGCAACAATTACGGAACGGAAGTATAAAATAACTTCAAGCATTTCACAAAGCAATGAAGCATGACAATCAATCAGGTGCGTGATTATTGGGAAGTGGTGCCCGATTTCAGTTCCTGTTCAGACATGCTGTGCTTAGGTAGGTATCCGTATCTGGGAGTTTTCAGACAAAACCACTGCGATATTGAGCTCCGCACTCGCAGTAGGTACTGGACACCAAGATGGCTCAGAAACCCGTACGCACTTACCTAGCTAAAATGAAACATATCCCGCCCTATCTACCGTCACTCAATCTCTCCTGAAGTTCTGCGAAAGAAAGTTAACCCACGCCGTGCTAGTGGCCCGTGTTTTCCGTGTCATGCTGGGGGGGGGGGGGTGTTTTCACGCCCCCCCCTCTATCTCGGGTCCTGGGACATGTAGCGATTCGATGACCCTTTTACAGATCTTTCTGAACATTGTTCTCAGATTTGACCTCAGGTCAACGGTTTAGCCTCCATAATGCAAAAACTGTAAAAATAGCAGTTTTCTCGAACATGTTTTTCGGCCATAAATATTGACTCAGGAGAGCCACGACATTTTTTTTGGCAGCATCGTGTTCCTCTCGTCGATACGCGTCGAATGACATATACTTTGACGTTGACAGGTCATTTTGAAAATTTGACCTCAGGCCAAGGTCATGACCTGACTGGGAAGGGTCATGATGCATATCAGTTGATCCTTGTCGTCGAGCTGAACACATCTGACGTGTTTTTACCGCTCTAGCACGTCTCTATCAAAAGTTATAGTAAAAAACTGCTGGTGACCTTTCATGACTTAAGATGACCTCAGGGGCACACAGAGGGGTCACAGGTGCATTTTTACGATTCAGTGTGTCAGGTTTACCTATGAACCGATATTTGAGAGCGTTTTGAACGACATTCGTCCAAAAGAGGCGCATTCAAAATTTCCCCCATTGACTTACAATGGAAACTGCAGAGGTCCGGCAAAATTGACATGACCTTAGGTCACACATATAAAAAATACGAGATATACATTCCATACATACTGTTATTAATATCAATCGCGGAAAGTTTCAAAGAGATCGTTCAGTCGGTGTAGCCATAGCGAGCCTTTGAACCTTTTCTGAGGTAAGGTCACTTGACGTTACCTGACCTTTAACGACCCGGGTCTAAAATTTTCACAACATATGCAGAAATGATGTCTGAACAGCTGTCCAAAACGTATTTGCGAAAAACCTGAGGGGGAGCGTAACCCCCCCCCCCCCAGCACGGCGCGGGTTAATGTCCATTGACCTCTGCTGAACTGCATTGTGACGTCATTTCCATTGTCCGACAAGACGCGTATTTTGAAGGTTATATCAGAAGTCTTGTGAAACCACTCACTCAGATTGTCCGAGCGCGGAGAGTGCGTTTACAAGTGTAAACACTTTTTCAAATGCCGTCATTCGAGTGTTCCACAGCTTCCTTTTCTGTGAGTGCACCTCATTTCACGGTGCTGGAAGCCCACTGCAGCAAACAGCCGACAAAGAGGCGTGACGTCATTATACATTTCAACCAGACGTCAATGGCTGTTACGTCTTTTGTTGCACTGTTGCAGAGAGGTAGGAGTGCATCCGTGTTCTTACTGAAAATGGGACTTCACATGCTATTCACTGTAAAAGTGTGATTCAAATGACAATCCAGGAAAGTTGGTTGTAGTAAACGTCATCATCGAAGGACTCATCGAAAGTCAATATATAAAACGCAATAATGTATTGAAACAATTCATTACGGCAGACTTCAAAAGCACAGGAACATGGGCAGAGGGGAAAGGCAACGGTAATTCGGGTAAAATTCTGCTAAAATCTTTAGTGAATAACAATATAGAGCCGCGAATATTTTCGTAAAAAGTTAGACATACGAAAAGTGAGATCACATTTTACTGTCCGTTTCTTTCGTATCGCTCCTACACTCATGCTGGAAGATCACATCAAAATACAGACTTGCCAACAATATCGGCCAAAACGATTTTTAGACAGAGAACACTGTATGAGGACACACTAGTAAGAGCCATTCACGGCCTTTGATGACGTCACAAGAGCGAGGGATAAGAAAGATCATCTTAGAAAAACAGCAGAGCATCGGTGGGCGCAGCGACAACACGATGCGGTAAAACCTAGTTACTACCAGGACAGCCTATGTACAATTGGGGTGCACCAACTATACATTGTATGATGTGCATGGAAAACAGAAGCAACGATACGTCGCTAGGGAAACGAAATCCCACTTTGATACACTACACGAGTCCACTTCTAAAATCCGTCTACCACTTGAAACATCACCGATCGATCAAAGTGAAAGCTGGCAGTTGTGATCGACAAAAGCACTACAAAGACAGACACACTAAAAGGCACTACACCTCCAACACTGCGCTCCAATCACTGGGCGAAGCTAGGCTGTCCGACGGCGGGTTGGCACACACCGGCCGGAACAGCGCGCAGCGGCAACTCCATTTGTACTGGGTGTGAGTCCGGGCGTCCTGGGGGCGCCCTCGACACCCGGGTGTCTCAGAGGCGCCCTCAGCTCAGTCCGGGGCGTCTCCGGCGCCCTACCAAGGCATCCCAAAGACGCCCAAACGCCCGGGCGTCTCGGACGCGCCGCTCCGCCCGCCCCACACACGGTCGAGGTAGTGAAAAACGGCCTCGGCGGCCACCGCGGTCCCTAGACAGATGACTGGGAACCAGAGCCGAGCACAACATGCTCAGAAATCTCAGTCAGCAGACTACAAATGGGCGACATTTTCAAACAACTTCATCTAATACCGTTCGTCATAGTGACATTAGCAAGTTCAGAAATTGTGCCAACTGTGTTTTTGTCGTAGCACGCTCTGGAAGAACGCAACTTTCGTGTCGCCTCGATGAGACGAGCTAAAAACGTTTGAGCAACGACCCTAATTACTGAGCGAAGACAGGCTTCAGAGTTCCTAACTCAGAACCGTCGTCTTGGACACAGGCAGTCCAAAAGGGTGGATAACAAGTTATGATGAAAAGTCGTGGCAATTTTAACACAACTCAATATCAACACGCATCCTTCCGTGTAAAGTCTGAAAGCCTACAAGTCAACTCTGCGACAAATTGGAACTCTTTAACGTTGCCCTTCTTGGCAACAAAACGGGCTTGACTGTCCATTCACAGACATCCGTAGCCAGCCTCCTACTGACATCCTATTGGTCCAGTGACGTCACTTCAGCTAGGCGGCTTCCTGCTGTCAGTGTCACTACCAAACCAACCCGGTTGGTGACGTCACCACAGCTCGGCCGCCTCCCGCTGATGATAGTATCACTAAACCAATAGCGTCATAGTTCGACACTTGCTGATGACGTCACCACCGAACCAATGACGCCACAGTTCGACACTCCTACCGATGACGTCACCACTGGTCTTATGACGTCACTACAGTTCGGCTGCCTCCTGCAGACAGAGGAGGGGCTCCTCGAACGCCGCCGAGGAGCCAGGCTGTGGCATCATCTCGTCCTCGGTGTCATCGGCATCGGTGCGGGACGCGGCACCCTCCCGCGCCACCTCTGTCGGCAGAGGGCAGAGGTCAGGGGGTTAAAGGTCAGGGGGTTAAAGGGTTAGAGAGTTAGACGTTAGAGGTCAAGGGGTCAGGGGTTAAGGGATTTGGGGCTAGGGGTCAGAGGTCAGGGTAGGAGCATGTACTCTGTAGTCAGAGGTCAGGGCTCAGGGCGTTAGAGTCTAAAGGTTAGGACTCAGAGGTTTAGAGGGTAGGGACAGAAGTTGGGATTTTATGGTGTTGGGTTGGGGTTAGGGTCATTGTTAACGCAAGGCTAAAAATGCTAGAAATTACAAGGATATAATTTTCAACGCGCGATTCGCAATGCACGATTTTCAACGCAAGACACCATTTTCAAAGCACGCCCTTTCAAAACCATCTGTCTGCCCCCCGTCCCGCGCCGGGCGCTAGACTCCATCAGGCACAGTGCGCTGTCGACACTGCATTACACGTGGCTTTGATGGGGCAGCCACATCGCCGCCTCGCTGCGCGAATGATAAACACCCCGCGCCGTCCAATATTGAGGAGGACGCCACGAGCCCGCATCAGAGGCCGGCCCAAGGACGCATGCCCGGTGTTGACGGGAAAACCGGCTCTCAGTTGGGTCAGATCTCACGGCAGCGCGGGGGTGGAGCAATATATATCGTGTCTTCAGCCTTCAGAAGTCTATATGCATTGCGGTCGATGCGTCCTGAAAGCCTTACCGCCCACAAAGTACACTTTGGTCGATTCGAAATAAACTGACAGATGTGTCCACACCTATTGAAGTTCACACAGGAATGTTTCAACTAAGACATGCCTTAGAGCTGAGTTATCTTAACCCGCGCCCCGCTGGGGGGGGGGGGGGCAGAATCTGCCCCCCCTCCCGTTTTTCGCCAATAACTTCTAAACGCGTTACGCCAGCGACGTCAAACTTTCAGTACCTTATCATACATCAATTTGACACGTTCCCTGAAAATTTGAGCGAAATCCGTCGGAAATTGTTTGAGAAATTGACGTTTTAGTGACGTCATGTTCGCCATTTTCGCGCCAAAAACGGCTAAATTTCAAACGCCGCTAACATCTTCATTTTTAAAGGAATCAAGACGTAACAAAAAAGGTTATACGTGATTCTACTTTGTCTATCAAATGGCTATCTCGGATTTTTGAAAATTTTGGATTTTGGTCCAAATTTTTTAAAAAAACTGACTTTTTTGGGAAAATAATTATAAAATCCAAAATTTTGAGTGTATCGAAAAAACCGGAATATATGTCAGAGAAGTGGTCTATGTGCACCTACATACCAATTTCTAGAAGAATCGGTTCAAAAATGTGGGAGTTATTTAAAATTTTATGACGTCATGACGCACAAAAATTTTGAAAAATGATTTTTTGAAAGTTCTAGACCTCGTACGTAAACAAAAATAGCACCATTCGATTCGCCGTGAAAAACTGCATCAGATAGACACCTTTTTAGGCCTTAACAACCAACTTCAAAATTTGACCTCACTTGACCTGACCTTGACCTGACCTCGACCTGAAATTTATCCAGAGGTGGTCCATATCACTTATTGAGTGTGCCCATTGAATTCTATGAGTAAAATGACCCATAAAACATGTGTCGCACATGCCATTTTCTATATTTTGTTTTTGGTGACCTGACCTGACCTGACCTGACCTTGACCTTGACCTTTGAATGACATTGTATGCAACGAATATTGTCTTGGTAGTCTAAGAACCCGTTTTGGGCAATCAGTCTCAGTCCATTCTTCGGCAACTACGGTGCAAGGCCGATACTGTAGAAACTTGCATTTTGTACCCTTGACCTGACCTTGACCTGACCTCTGACCTACTTAAGCAAAACAATTTGGGCTCTTAAGATCCGCCTTGTTGAGAGCTTTCGATTGCCGTTTTCCCCGTCTTTCTACGACCATCGGTTCGGAAGTTAGACAGGGGGGGCAGAATCTGCCCCCCCCCCCCAGCAGGGCGCGTATGGCTGAATAGCCCAGCGGGGCGCGGGTTAACAACGTTCTTCACTGCCGCTAAGCCTTGTACTGATGTCAGTACACCAGTAAGCCATATTACACTCCTCAGACAGGTAAATCCCGTCGTACACCGCACCTCGCCAATGTTCAAAGCGAGACAGTCAGCCTAACGTTAATCAGTCACCAGTTGTACAATCCCACCCCAATCACCGTCCCGTGCGGCCCGGCGCGGCGGCGCACAAACCCCGGCTTCGTGCTGTGAGGCGGCACCTATCTCTTCCAAGCCGGTGCACAGTCTACAAACAACGTCTCCTCCCCCTCCCTCCCCTCCTCTCTTTCCCCCGTCATCAGCAGGGCGGGCCTGATTGTAAACGCTCCACGCAGGGCCACAAAAACGCTCGGCGCAATTGCACTCCGCGGGAGGCCGTACTTCACACAGCGGTGGACGAGATGAGGGCACGCCTCACGCACACGCACGCGCCGGAGGGCGGGCGGGGGTGGTGTGGTTCGTGTCTCCATAACCCCGCACCGGCTCCGCCCCGTGGCTCTGCGACTCCGTGGATCCGAGGCTCCACGGCTCCGCGGCTCTACAGCTCCGTGGTCCAGCCGCGGCGCCCTGCTGAGCCGGCAGATATCCGCCGCCCCCCGCAGGGGTCACGTCACGGTTCGACACCGCACTATCGATCGTACCGACGTGGCGGCTCTGTTTTGGGCGGGCGCGCCACCGTCGTCTCCGCTGCGCCGCCTCTGCCGGCCGGCCGCTGCGTCTCCAGTAAGCCGGTTATCGGTGCGGGCAGCCGCCGCCTACAGCGCGGTCACAAACACGTACAAATAAACACCGTCAGAGGCGCGGCCGGCGCCGGTGAGCGCCAATGGTGCGACGTACGGTGGCTGGTGGGCGCTGCGAGGTGTCGGTACAGAGTACGGACACGGTATAGGGCTATAGGCAGACAGCACGGACAGAGAAAAAACTTGAACGGGGTTTCCAATTCCAGTGATCCATGCGAGCGAGCGAGAGCGAGAGAGGGAGAGGGAGAGGGAGAGGGAGAGGGAGAGGGAGAGGGAGAGGGAGAGAGAGAGAGAGAGAGAGAGAGAGAGAGAGAGAGAGAGAGAGAGAGAGAGAGAGAGAGAGAGAGAGAGAGAGAGAGAGAGAGAGAGAGAGAGAGAGAGAGAGAGAGTCCAGGAAAGCTTATCAAGAAAATGTTAACTGTTTCATTAACTTTGTTCGCTCCCATAATTCAGCCGGAGGACGTTGGATTAATGAACTAACAACTCCAATATAGCTGGCTAGCGCAGCTGTATTCGGTGTGACTCGAATGCGGCCAGAGTTATAGCTACCTATGTACATGGGCCTTAAATGCATGTAATACATTTCTTTACGACTTTATCAGTATGCATACCCACAGAAAACGGCATTGCCGAGTGAGCTAGCGTCAGCCACCGGCTAGTAACTAGGAAAAGTGGCTCCAACTAATGGCGCTATTTACAATTAAGATGAAAAACAACATCATCAACCAGTTTAGCGGGACATACTAGCACAATAATTTGGTCAAATACCCCAGCCTAACAGCTGAGCGAGCATGCACCTCGAGCGAACATCTCCAGCCCAGCGACACCCACCAGCCCATTCACATTACCCGCGCGATCATTGGTCCGTGCAAGACGGCCAGCCGAGTCGGCCATCGGTGGGAATCGCAACACCTGCCCGTAACGACCACCTCCAGCGAACAAACGGCCACAAATGATAGCCGGAATCGCACAAAAGACAACGGCAATCGACCAGTTCCGTGCAGCGTGCGTGTGCATGTCCGCCAGCCATCGGTGGGCCGCGGCGAGCGCTCACACCTCTAAGTGTCACCTGCTGTCCGGGCCGCCCGGACCACACAGTCAGCCGATCCATACAGCTGATCCATAAACGATCATCGCTCTAAGCAAGACCCATTCAAACGTCTAACACAGCACCTGCCACAAAAACCCGCAGCGGCAGGCGCATTCAGTCGGTATTCAGCATTTTCAATCAGATGATTTATTATTATCAGTTGATTCATCAACGTAATTGCATTTTCGTCTACTCAAAAGCACGTACGATGAAGCACTTACAAGCACCTTCGCCACGAAAAGAAACAGGAAAACAGACTCACGATCGAGGAAGGCAGCGAGTGGCGGGGGCAGCATGCTCTTGGCTTTCTGCAGGTCGGCCTCTGTGCTGGTTCCATTCTCCAGCCCTGTAACAGCAGAGGCAATCCCATCAGCCCGGCGGGGCGGCTCTCAGTCCCGTCCGACACCTGTTCCCCTCCCCCAGCGGGTCTGATGCCACAGAACGTCATCACGCCGACCGCAAACAGAGCCGGTAAACAGGGGAAGCCTGTCAGACAGCGACACACACAGACAGACAGACAGACAGACACACAGCGGGGGATACAGGGAAGCCGCGCGGCCATCCCAGGTCATTAAATACCGCAGCCGACCGTGTGGCCTACATCACAGGCCGGCACCTGTATATGAGGTGAGAGAAAGGGAGGGAGAGAGAGAGGGAGAAGAGAGTACGAAGAGGAGGATGGAATATTTCCACTGGTTTCCATGGACGGTTTCAGGTAGCCTGGTTACCGCGCCAGGCGTTGTATAATGAGGTCACCCTCAGACAAGCGGAAATACGCTGTCAAAGGACGGCCGCCGAGGTTTGTTGCTGTCGGCAAGTAAATGGAACGTGAACCCCGGTGACAAGTTCAGGACTCGCACTGATTCACGGGATATTATGAGCCGACTTTACCGTGAAGCTTTCAGAGGGATCGCTGGCTGAAACTTTTGCCTCGTCGCCTTCAATCGAGGCTGCTCACTGATCCTGTTCCGACTAGTCAGCCCTGATATAGATAGATAAATCGCCTGATCAGCTGGCGCCGCACGGAACTCCGGTTTGCAACGCGCCCAGTCACGTGGCGCGGTGCATGTCGTGACAAACAACTGTGTGAACAGTCAGTGACCGTCACAAGTTCCTCGACGAGCGCACCTTTCATCAATCCCACCAGTCAGTTTTCAACAGCCACCAAATACCCGTCGTCAGCTATCCACCAAACGTCCACGAAACACACGGGACAGCAATCAGAACCACACTGAGTCCACTCATATCCAGAGAACAAACACTCATTAGATCCGCGATAATATCCGCCAAGCAGATATCCACTCAATACCCACCCAGTACGAGTACACACTGACATCCACTCGATCCACCAAATAGATTCACATTCAGATCCATTGAGCACCCACCCGACCCGACAACGCACTCGATCCATACTAACACCCACCAGACCCACCCAACACCCACCAGATCCACCAAACACCCACCAGATCCACAGTGACACGGCTCCGCCGTCGTTCACCCGATCCACCCACTCGATCCAGCCGCTCCCATGTCGACACGGATGACACCGTTCCCGCGCCATTCGGCTCCGTCGTACACGACGATCCATCGGCCGTGCCCGCCGTTCGGCCGACGCCGAAATGCGCCCGCCGCCGAGTTCATATCATTCCCGGCGTTCATGGTGATGAAAATTGCCAGCGTCGCCGCACAGGCGAGTTGAACCGTTTCTCGGCGACTATGGATAAAGTTGATCGGGCCGACGCGAGGTCGGCGATCGATCAGACTTACTAATGCCTGGCGACTCGGACTGATCATGCTTTTACGGCGCGCCCGATGTGATTCCGAAGTTGGTGCTAATAAGTGTCCGACAAAATGACGAGCGATGAGCCAAGTTCACGGCAGGGGCGCTACGTCGCCGACGGCCGCCGACGTATACGGAAAGTGACGGTCTCACTTTTCGCTCTAAGGAAATTATAAACAAAAGCCTATAGCAAAACCAGGGAAAGCCATCGTTAATTCGTTACGCATTACATAGCTGGCAATGATTATCCACACAAAAACGATGCAAAATCGCAACAAAATTCAATGGTGTCCAATCGTTGGATATTTAAGACATTACCACAACGAACCGGCACTTGCGAAATAAGACGAACAGACCAAGCACACACTAAAGCCAAAACACTTCTCAAAGTTGGCCCCTTGGCGTCAGTCACATGCGAAACTTGTGCTGACATCTGACATCTTAGGCTGTCAGCGAAGGCGGCTGGGGCGAGACAGACCAAAGGCGGGTGTCGCGCCAGCGCTATACGCGCGCCTGTGTTGAACATCGCTCAGATGAAAGCGTTCCACATTTCAATTAATGTGAGTGCTTGCAAATGTTTCGACACAACAGAAAAAGATGAAATTGTGATAGCACGCTGGGCCGACAAAGTATGCGCGCAATAAGACGGGTGACGCTTGTTTTCCCCAGCACCCTGCAGCTGTCGAATGGAGGCCCGTCTAATAACGGGTTGACAGGCCGTTTCAGATCTAGCACGGGCATGGTGGCGACAAAAGTAAAAATGTTGTTAGGCGTCACTAATTGCTAAGCATATCTGGTTCACCCCACGACTGGTAATGTTGCAATCTAACTAAAAGGAAAAAGAAATGTTTCATAATTATAGACATCCTCATATTTCATGATCGTCATCGAAGCAAATCTTGGTTCCCATAAATAAAGTCCCAGCATTCTGCACTCAGCATCAGCAGCGCTAAAAGGCAGCAGTGGCTCGCAGTAGCAAAGCGACCATCGTGACCGCTCGAAATTCGACAAAAAAGGACACAAACACACCTAAAGCGGTATGGCAATCGGTAGTCGGTACTACCAGACCACTAGACAGTGAATAGTCGTTTGGTCTAAGGACCCACTGTGCAGCCGGTCCAACTCCGAGTCCTCCGACCCGGCCATCTCGGCCCAGTTTTACATTCATCGGATCCAGGATTAGGCTCGTATGAATATGCAACGCCAGTGCGAAGCGGCCATGAATTCCGCCAAGTCGGCCGTGCTCGGCTCTGAAGGAGTTCAGGATATTGGATAAGGAGAGCTGAGGATGACGCGGAACTTGGACCAGCTTCTGACGCGCTCATAACGCAGGAGATGTGGGCAGATAATGCTGGGAAGACGTTAGTCGCATGAGCAAGCAGCAGCTGCACTGTACTAGCTGATGACCACTAAAAACCATTCGTTAGCTGATCGTAGCGAAAAAAAGAACAGCTGTAAATTTTCAGCGTTTAGCACTAAGTACACTACAAAGAATAGGTACCTATACAAATAGCACACAGCTTCATTCCAATCATCCTCGGCCGAGATAACTGAGCCACCAAGGCATTCAGTCAACTTACTGCCCCAAAATACCCGCTACTACGCCAAACCGCCTCGTCCACCGACTAACCCTCTCCCTCCACCCTTCCCCAGAGTTCCGGGCCCCGGAGCGAAGCCGAGGGGAGGGGGCGGAGGGGGGAGTTAGTGGCACTTCTGACGGTCATATCCGACGTTCATCATCATTCCGACGTGCACTGCAATACGGGCTAATGGCGGAGGCCGATCGCTGCGCCGATAATGAGTCTTTACGGCTCGGTTTCACGGCCGGACCGCGTCCTTCTCTGAGCTGTCCGGTGCGGATGGAAAGTCCCGGGTAGGAGACGGGTCAGCAGGGGAGCCGCCGGGGTCAGCGGGAGAGCCGCCGGGGCAGCGGGTATTTTTGGTTCGGCCGGGCGACAGGCGGGTGGCAGAGATACTGGGAAACGCAGCTGGCTGGACTGGTAGACGGTGGAAGAAGATATTCAACTGGTAGAAACAGCCGAGGAGGTGCATGTTTGTGTAATGCCATATCAAATGCCGAAGCGGTGTGATCCTTATGATTTGAAGTTTCTTTTTAAGCTCATGAGGAATACAAATTAAGAACGAACAAAATTCCTAATTGGGATCCTAGTGAGTATAAACACTTTCTTTTGTGTTTCGTTGCAAACAACAGTAAGCTAGTAGTTTATTACAGAGGACGACACCAAACAACCATGATTATCATTTATCAACGGCCAAGCGGGATCCGCGAATTGGTGGTGCCAGACACAGAAGGGGTCATGTGAGGCTCTTTGTGTTGGTTAGCCTCAGCGTCATTGGTCATGGGTGCCAGCTTCGCTGTCATAGCTTGCAGTTGATTTAACGACTCAGCCCCGTCAGCAGCAGCACGCTATGGGAAAGTCACCCTTGGGCAAAGAAAAACACATGACAAAGTGAAGACGTGAAGTTAATTACAAATACAGTTCTGTGTATTTATTCTTATGTAATTATGTGTAGGTGGAGAGGAATAGGTACCGTCGCGGATAATGTCAAGCTATCTTTTTGTTTTCAAACCCAAATGGGAATCCGTAGCAAGAGTTGGCCGATTCTATCATTTGGAGCTCGAAACACCCTTATCACAAAGTTGATTTTCACTTATGACACCAATTACAGCTAATTCACTCCAACGAATCCATTTCACAACTCGGGTAGTTTCCTGGACAGCCAAATTGGCCTAATTACCAGCGGAAATCGGTCTACCCTATGGTCGCCGCACTGTGGTGACCAATCGGGACTCCATTAAACAAGATTAACTGTCTCCGGTCATAATTCGACAGGCTTTTCGAATGGCTCCAGCGCGGCCTTGACACATGGCCGATCGGGCGGCCGATGGCAGAACTCGTTATACCGACTGTCCGAAATGCAGTCTGAATTCTGAAAGTGACCCGGCCCGGCGCCGGGTCCGGCCCGGCCCGGCGCCGGGTCGAACCATGCCGTGCCGATGGGTCGGTGAGAAGTGGTGGCTGGTCACGAAGGTGGGAACAGAGGGTGTCAGGAGGGGAGAGGGTAGGGGAGAAGGAAGAGAAGGGGACGGGTGTGAGACTCACCGAGTGCCATCCCCATCCGCTGTAGCACCTCGATGTCATCGTGGATCTCGAAGGCGTCGTCGAAGTTGAACAGGTACTCGGTTCTGAAGGGGAGTGGGGACAAAGGTCAGTGACGTCTACTCTACTAACTGACCTATCACTGCGACACTTGTCGGGGTAAAAAACACACAGGGCATGAACTGACTGTCATCGATAATAGCAAGCTGCTTAGTACTGGTGCGATTAAGTCTTTCGCGCCAAGCTGGACTAAAAAATACAGCGTGGATATAACTTGAACTCACGACCCTCGATGACAAACATGACATGGTATATCAGAGACAACCTGAAAAGTAGGCTCACACGCATTTATGAAACGACACATTCAAAAGCTTCGACCATTAGCGACAAGCTGACGGTACTGTTCATACAGAAAGTTTCTGCATATATTTGAAAAGTTCTACTCCTCTTCTATTTCAGACTTGTTTCAGACACCCACGTTGGCATGAGCACACTTTGCAGGACGGTCTCCAGTGCAGAAGGGACCAACTTTTCACCAGGAAGTTCACATTTTCGTCAAAATTAAATAGATCCCGGCATGGGCGGACTTGCCTGACCGTACTTCTGAGCGTCATATCATTTCCAGGAGGGTTACATAATATCTCGGATATCGACCCTCGTGTCAGTAGCAGCCGGTATTATCCGAGATAAAGTGTGCAAATCTGGTAAAGCTGCAACAAACATTGCAACACATGTGCGGACCCATTGCTAAAAGCTCAGCCATCGAGAGCTCTCGCCCGACTGCTGAAACGAGAACCGGTCTGATCTTGTCTAATCTTGAAGTAGCAACAAATAATCCTGAGCGCTCGCCGTTTTCCAACTTTCGTCAGCCAGCCAAAGTTCAAGCCGCCAATGGGCTAATGAGCGCTACGTTAACGAGCCAAGCGAAGCCGCTCTCCGTCCGCAAAGTGTCTCGTCCCAGCGAAAAAAGCGTTCGCAGAAGTTGGGCTCCAGCCCAATTGGAGTCAGAAAATCGCAGCTGTTTACGACTCGACCCAATCGGATGGCGCATATTAGCATCGCTTCAGGACGAACGCGATGAATGCTGCCGAGCGGATGAATGGTCCCTCGCGCACAAAGCCCCACCTCACCGTCCCCATCCCCGCGTCGAGCGTTCAAAGACCCGAGTTACCCTATAGCCGACTGAGGAATATCAGCCGAGCCTGGCGCAGCTAGAAAGCTGTTTAATCTTTTATCAGCATTCAATTTTGGAAGTGGCGACGTGCAAGAATATTAATGTTGCTACGCATCCAATTAAAAAGTTTATCAAACACGGGTAAAAGTAGTTAGCTCCCCCAAACACAATTCATTTCTTTCACACGTTCAATTTACCACAATGACGAAAATTATATATCATTCTGGTGACACAAAACAATTTTAGCACTTAACACTTTTCGACACTTTTTTAACGCCGGGTAAAACAACTGTGGTGTTCCTGTCCCCGACTCCCCGGTGCATTTTCCGCCGCGTCGCCCTCCCACAAACAGCCAACCGTGACTCGGCCTGTCTCGCCGCCTCTGTGAGGTCGGTTCTTCAGGTCGCAGCGGGAACCAGCGCTGGCCGCAGTCGTTCCCTGCGCGGCCATTTATATATCAGCGACAAGAAGTGGGTCGGCAGCAAGCCCCTGCGTCCCGGCGGGGTCCGTGTCGTCTGCCGAGCGCGACACGACGACACCACACCCTGCGGTCACAGTTTCACAGAGCTGGCTGTTTTTCCGCCGCCGCCGACACCGCCGGCCTCACCACTGGCGCCGCAGGTCCCGGTGAAAAATTGCCGACACTCCAGACAGTTCCAAATTGGCGCGATGCCAACTTTTTCGATTTACGTCACCACCGGTCGTTTGATCGCCGAGTTCGAGGTCTGAGCCGGCCCGAGTCAGCGCCGAATCAGCTGCCGATTGTGAACGGACGCCGAGTGTGCCCTCCCTTCCCATCGTCCTCCTCAGGGAGCCAGCCGGAGAGTGGAAAAAGCGGCGCACAAGTCGAACGGTTAACTCAGCAAAGTTCGAGTGGCCGACCGGAGCTCTGTTGGCCGAGAAGAGTCGCAAATGAGCCATAAAGGCCGCTTTTTGTCGGCGCCAATCGCATCTCCGCGCTGGAGGCTGTCGGACCACGTGAGCATCCGAGCGTATGGCGCCAGCCGCCGGGTAGCGGGAGATATCACCAGTTATATCTCCAGCGCCGGGTACGTGATTGAATAAAGAAAACTCCACTAAACCGTAAAAAGGATGAATGGATGATCAATGACAAGGACACTTCTTGGAAATATGTATTACTGATAGCACGCACATAAGTAATGGTCATTGGTCACGGATAAATCATTTCTCGCAAATATTCCCCTAAGCGTGAAAATTTACACTCTTGGAGAGGACAAGAAAACTGAGATAAATCACCCTCTAATTCACAGCCGCCTTGAAGACTCCGTTCATCGCATGCTCTTTTCCGGCCAAGCTCAGAGTCTGGAGCGTTGCGTCATCATTGAATCATCCAGCCGATTGTGCCCCGATGTCCCAGTCTAGTCTAGTTTAGTCAGCCCTCACGAGATGGCACTAGGCGCACTACCCTGCATGTGTATGCTGTACCGCGAAGCACGATACTTCTTTACGAGCACCGCCGCGTGTTCCTGCGGAATCATAGACAGCAGACACTATATGGCATCAATTTCTTACCATCATTTCAAGATTCTGCACAGACACATTGCTCCGTCTGTCATAACCCGATCACCGTCTGAACGGCACTGTTTCCGTGACCGTCTCAGTTCCGGGCTGTGGGCGTAGCCGAGCCCTGTGAGAGCTGGCCAGGTGGTCCGCCACTCGGCACGCGGGCCGAGCCATTCTACCCAGGGTTCTCTTCTCTCTAACCCAGGCCCAGCTGCACCGGATGCCGCAGAAACTCGCTGAAATTACCGCCGCCAGCAATAGGATTGTCGTGAGCCGCCGTCATCCGCCGTCCGCCACCGTCGAGCGAGCTGAAACACTGCCGCCGACCTATCTGCCGGATCTATGGCGCCACGCGCACGACAGACGTGGTCGCGCCGCCCGCTTCCCCGCCCGGCAGGCAGCGGGTGGAGACCGGTTCCAGACGAGAATTTGGTGAATTGTAGCGCGTTTTGAAACATAATGCGGAGCTGTTAAGCGCGACTATGACGGATTTCTTGCTTGGACGTGCGCCATTCAGCAGCGCCACCGGACGAAAACAAAACAGCTGGGCACATTTGAATGCATATGAGAGGATATTCTATGATACGCATGCATACAAACAACCCATTCCACTAATAATTCTGACCATTATTTCAGGAGGTAAATTCAAAAGGAACATATGCAGGAAAATGTGGTTATTCTCCGTAACTTCTCTTCAATTAAGCTTCTGATTTTTTTATTACAGACATAGCACTCGGCGCGCAGTGCGCCGCTGCTAACGCGTTTTAGCGAGGCCCGCCACCGAATCTGATTACCCGGCCAGTGGGACAGCTGGAAGGCTGGATCAGAATACAAACTCGGAGGCCGGCACGAAACCGGCCCAGGACACCCGTGAAATCAATACAAGCGCATCCACGAAAAAGAACGCGCACCACGCAAGACGAGATGAAGGACCACAGCCGAGCGATGATTTGTCAAAGCCTGGGTACGAAAGGTTGGGATTTCCAATGAAATAGAATGCATTGGTTAACAGCAAATGTGTACGACCAATCTGACTGCATAGTGCTGTATAGTGCATATGCGATGCCTTGATCTTTGCTGGTTGCATTACGTGCAAAACCAATGATATCTGCCATCTTTGACTCAGGATTGGACGGGAATTCACATAGCTGTCATGTTTTTTTCGAATTGTGTATAAAATGCAGCATGATTTGAGATTAAGAAATGAAAACCTAAAATGAATGCCTATAAACAACAGAAAAAAACGAGCATACTGCATATCTTTGAGCGTTATTTCTATTTCTCGTTCTAATTCTTGTTAAAGGTGGCTCAAATTTCGAAATTTTGGAGGCGTGCATTCAACCCCCTCCAGTCTCTATTAAATGCTGGCTTACATCCGGTCAGTGCGGTAGCGGTTCAGTCCAACATAGAAAACAACTTTCCAGCTGATTCTAGCATTGGAGCATTTCGCAGCTCAGCCGTAGGTATACCCTTTAGAAGGCTGGTTCAAGATTTATTTCACGCAGCATCGATTGGAGCCAATCACTCAGTCGAGCTGAATTACGTACAGACTTCGCGGAAGCGATCGGTCCAATAGGCCACCCATCACCCCAGGTTAATCGTAATGCCAGTCCACTTAATCATAGTAACATAACAATGAATTGATTTAGCTTGTAATTAGCCCGACGCAAGCAATGCAGCATTACGCAATACTGGCCAGATAATTATTTATATTATACAAAGTTACAAGAGTGTGAGAGACTCCTATAACATTCATATAATATAACATACAATAATTCAAATCGATGCTAAACTCTTGCCCGATTTCCACTGAATGAACTGGACTACATAAATATCAATTCAAATAATGGATGTCGCATGAGCATTGAGCGATGATAAATTTACACGATGTGAGGAATATCTAAAACGCACTGATAACTGAAGGGGCATCTCCCGCACTTAAATGCGGCATAGTGAAAGATTTTCTCTCGCATAGCTTCAATGAAAATATTTCGTAGTCTGGTACAAACCATTGAAGCAGATATGATATAACATGTTGCTAAAAAGCTGATGAAAAGAGGAAAGCCATTAAGAACACCTACCCTCATAATATCTGGGGCAGTGTAGTGAGAACTTCATGGGGTAAACACTAGCATAACAGCATATTCGAGTTCCGACGGGACCGGCTATGCTGGATCAGGAAGGCCATTGCAGGGCTGGGGCACCAACACGACTATCTCAACTGATGAGGCGAATGTTTAAACGTTAGGGAGAAGCAGCCACTTTAAATGCTTGCTTTCCCAACAAAACGGTCACTCCGGTATCGAAACCGTCCGTCTGTGTAGCCAATCCCGATAATGTAGGAACGGGAACACTCGCAATGTTTACAAACGCCGCACCGGAACCCTAGCCCGGCGCCAGTTGAGCCGGCGACAATACATTGCAAATTGACAAAATTTGCCGGCGGCCAGCGACTTCCCGCTCCGACCGGTGCGGATTTCCAGAGTGATTGCCACACTTTGTTTGCGGAAAGTTTCCGGGGGAGAGCGGCCGTGGCGGCGTGGCTTGCCGCAGGCACGCTAACTTGGTCTGTTCGTTGCGGTCTGAGGGAGAGCGGACGGGTGCCACTGCCGTCCACCGACGACAGGTCAGCAGGTCAGGCGCGCGCTGCCGAACGGGCAACGAGGGGACCGACGGCCGAAGGAGGAAATGGACAACAGGCATCCCAACACATGCTGCTGCAGTTATAAATTACCCTGACAACTGATGATCCTTTTGAGCTGAGCATCAAAGCACGATAATATTGATAAAAATAGCCTAAGGGCAGGAAAAAACGCCACCAGGGAGAACACAACTATCCACGGACGTAGCACCACATACTGCATTAACATATTGCCCTGCCCGAGGAAATAAAAGAGCCGCAGGCATTCGGTAGATGATTAAATTGCGTAGGATTAACAAAGGTAGAACAAACGCTTGCGAGCAAAACGCGCAAGCATTTAACGGGAGAATGCATAATGCACGTCCAAATCTGCCAGGCATACCGCCAAAAGTCAGCAAATACTAGTGCATTGTTGGTTTTGTATGATCAAAGAAATCCCTAAAACCACTGTGCGATGTGTTATCCGTAAGAGCAGCAAAACAACCGCGTTGCGATGGGCGGTGTGAATGAAAAGGTGATTTTTGAACGATTCCCCTAGATCCAAGCACAATAACAGAAGGTAAAAATTACATCTCTAGCATGCATCCCGCATCCGGTTCGTTATTCTAATGCCCTGTGTGATTAAAATAACAAAAAAAGACGACGATAACAAAAAAAAACTCAAAATACAAGCGTTGAGATTCGGTGTCCGTCCTGTATCACTACCGCGAGTCGTAACTGACCCGTGCCGGGTCACCGGGCCACCGTCCGCTCGGCGACCTCAATACGCCTCGGGCATTTCGGCTACTTAGCCTTTGGCCGCACAGTCGAACACTCCGAGCCCGCGTATTGTGCAACACAATACACAGCAACTGTACATACATCTGCATTTGACTGGGTGCATCAAAAGTTCTCTCTCTTTAAAGTTTGTTGGAATAAACCGGATCGAGCCAGGTGAGATTCAGACACATCTGGACCAGTAACTGCGCCTTTGCCATGAATAACCTAGTTAAACGACACTTGGACTGCCTCCAGAGCAAGGAAGAAGATTCCGGGTCGAAGACTGAGTTAGTTGATGAACGACATTGACATCAAGACAGAACGTCAGAGATGCCGGTGATGACCTACATAGACAAAAGATACGAACAAAGCTCCCTGAGGGCCTTCCGAAACAGTTCGTCTGTGTCACTCACAAAACTGAGCAATAGTGTGACCAACGTATCCAAGCAAACAAGAATGATACGCAACTGTCCAGTTGAAAAGACAACGTATCCAAGCAAACAAGAATGATATGCAACTGTCCAGTTGAAAAGAATGTGTACATCTCGTCATTGAACTACAAATAAGGATGTATGTTGCACCAAGGCTCAAAACGAAGCATCAAATCATCCACAATAGACCAATGCTACCTACCTCAAATCACGACATGTCTCTTTCCAACGAAACCGAACACCTCTCAGACGGGGCGCTATCTGAGACAGAGGGACAAATGAGCTCGATGGTTAGAACTAGTGTGGCTGTGGCTTCTCAGTTCGCTCATTTTTCCGCATTCTAAGTCTATAGGAAGCTCTTACATCAGTTGAGGGCGGTGGTGAAAGGAGCCCATATTACTACAGACAATTGATTATATCCCTTCAGCTGTGGCACTCACTTGTCGTTAGACATGCTGCAGTCGATCACCGTCTTCTTGTCGGTGTTGACCACGATGAAGGGCAGTTGGACGGACGAGCTGGGCTCCGGCGCGCCGTGCGTCTGCTCCAGCTGAGGATAGACGGTCTGACGTCATACACAGACAGTCTGACGTCATACACCGGCAGGCGTGTCACAGACATCGGGCGTCACCAACAGCCGAATGACGCTACAGCTTCTCTTTTTTATAGTTTTTTTTTTTAGTGATACATTTGAAAAATAGACATGGTATAACCAGACACATAGCAAAGATCCGTACTTACATCACCTAGTTAAGGACAATCTATACGTAGTGTCTTCCCTATTCTTGGCTAAAACATTTCAACTTTGGAGCGAAGCTCACCACCACCCTACCAACCAGCAATGACTGGGCCATGAGAAGCCTCCTTTGTGGGGACAGTCTTACGATTAAGCTGCCGTTTCTGAAGGCGGCCGGCCCCTTCCACTACTCTACATACATATCAGAATTTATGGAGAGCCCATAAGTCTGCAATCTCCATAGCTGAGCCCCGGCTGGATCTCCCCGAGCCAGAGAAAGGGTAGGTCCGGCCGGCTCTCCGCTCTCAGTACCGACAATACCGCCGAGTGGCATGCAAACACACACACAATGCTCCACACAAGCTGTACATACAGTGAGACAAGGGGTAGGTTAATTAGGTGTGCTAGTTCACGGAAGGAGGGCCTTACCACAGGTCAAGTCGAGTATCGACAACAAACTCTGAAACAATTTCCATATTGAGCCACCAACGATTCTGTTCCCAAGGAAGTGAGATTCCATGCCCAAGAAGCAATAAAATGCGCTTTTAGAGCATTGAATCGAGAGAGAGAAAATGTTGGGAACTTTTCTTGCCTTATTTTAAAGCTAAAGCCATCCTTAATCGCACTAGAATCATGCTGGCAAGGAACATTCGTGGTACCCGGATGAAAAGCCACGCGCTCACCAACAGTATTGTCACATGAACGCTTTTGTTGCCAGAAACACAATAGCTTTGGAGTTATCCCAGTAGCGTCGTATGGTTCGAAGGACTTTTCTACAGACTACCAGCTGTTCAGCGCGGGGTCGTAACCATGGCAACACGAGCCGATTCGCCGCGTGCTCCAGTGACCCAGTGCACTTTGAGACAGCCGGCGCACCGCAGGACGCTGCAGCCGGCCGCGTCGTAAACCGAAGCCAGTCCGATGTACCGGCGGCGAACAAAACAATGGGCGAGCGCACAGCCGGGAATCGGATGTCGGGTCAATTTGGTGATGCATGAGGAAAAACAGGAGGCTCCCGAGGCGGCCGGGATTCCTCGATCGGCGGACGGAGACGCTGTTCAGATTGCTCACAAGCCGTGCTCTTGTTACCCCGGACGGCTAGAAAAACGCGTGCAGTCAAAAGTGCCAGAGGTAGAAAAGCATCCAATACCGGAAATATGTAGTGCACCGCCCTGACGACCTAGAACCGAGCATAAGATCAATATGCGGGGGAAAATACTGACCGGATTCGCCAAGAAAATCCCATTCGTTGCCATGGTTAAAGTTGCTTTTTGTCCAATTCACCCTCAAAACTAAATACAAATAACAAATATGGACAAAATATGTATTTTGTACCCAAAGAAATACTTTAAAGTACAAAACATTCCCCAAATAATGTTGCATTTGTACAGGCGTCCGCGAACAATAACGCCAGTAAATGAGCCAAAGAAAACAGTCTTCGAGAAAAATATGTCTTGATACAGATGTGCGGACTGCGGAGCATTGTAACTGCAATGAACGTATTCATAAAGCGTCTTTATTCCACACAATCATCGCCTATTTATGAAAGTTTTTTCTTTCGAGTAATCGACGGTGCCTAAATAACTAGCGCGTATGATTGGCGATCAAAACATTGCTGATTGGCATATCTGCAGCTCGATCTGGTCCACACAGGGGGGCGACACGGCTATTCGCGCAATGTATTCAGTTATGGGCCGCGCGGGGCCTCGCGATGACGCGGCTGGAGGCAACTGCTCAGCGCGCTAGGATACTTCTGGCGGGGCCGGGCGCTGAACGGCGTGCAATGCAATGAATGGGTTATGGGCGGGCAGACAGAGATGAGGTATTGAATTTGAATTGACATCACCAATCGGGTGGGGAAGGAGAACGTTTCTAATCGAGCTTGGGATGGGGAAAGCCGAAAATGTCATGATCGGCTCGAAGCTCCGTCAGGGCCGGGTGCCGTACCATGTGTAGTATATTTAGGCGGGCAGACAGAGATGAGTTAGTGGATTTAAATTCACCTTACCATCGGTTTCTGGTGGGGTTTGAAGACGTTTTTAGTTAAGCTCGGGGCATGGCAACCCACTGGCGGATCCAGGGCAAGGCATTTGGGGCCAACCGAAATCGCTTTTCGAGAATAAAAGAAAACTTCACAACTTTTCTTAGGAAATGTTGGTTAATCACACTGCACAGCAGTATGCAAGGAATCAAAATCCGTGTTTTTTAAATTAATTCGGAGAAACTTTTTTGGGGTAAGCCCCCGCAGTGTCCAAGACCGCTTCCTGGATCCGCCACTTGTGAATAAGTCACGGTCGATACCGAGCTTCAGAGGTGGACAGACACCTAACCCCACATCCTACTGCTATACCCGTGCTTCTGTGGGTGAAGCACTGAAGCATCACGGACCGCTTTGGCCGCCGGGTACTGCAGCTCCCTGGAGTTGCCTGGGACCGATGGTAAAACAACAGCTCCGGCGGTGCCCCTATGGGCCGTAGTAATTAGTGAATTCCCGTAATGTAGAGATCATATCCTCAATAGTCTCCATTAAGATTTTATATTCCTTAACAATATGACAGACCAATTATGCTTGCCTACGTTCAGGCATTACCTCTGTCCTCTGATGGTTATACGCCCAGCACAACATGTGTTCGGACGGGGTGATCTTTCTACGAATGTACGCACCATCCAGGCCTAGGATGCATCGAGGTTTAAAATAATGCAGTCTGTAGATCAATCAACATAACAAATGTGGTATACAACCACATTAAAATATCTCCCCCGCTCCCGCAGCGTTCCAACGCCCCTCCGTTATGCATTCGCCTTATGTGTCCGCCGAGCCGGCTTGCCTCCAATGACGTCATCGGCCGGCCGGCGGCGTTCAAGGTCAAACGGCTGGTGTCCTTACCTGGAGTTTTATAGCCTTGGGTCCACATCCCAACACTGAAATGAACGTAATTCCGTCGGTGCCGTCTCTTCCAGCGCGTAAGCCTGGTTAACAAGGCAGCGTGTATGTCTGACGGTCATTATCCGTCTGGTGAGGCCGCGGCCTCCGCCACCACGCCGCTAACCCGCGTCCAATTTATCGAGATCAGAGTCGGAATCGGCTCAAAGAAGACGCCCTTTGGCCTGTTGTAGCGGCGGCAGCCCGCGCGCCGGTCGGCCGGGCGGGTGCCCGCAGCCGTCCGTGATTGCCAATCAGCCAGAGAGGTTTGTGCAAGCCGCCACGGCCCGAGACTGGTCCGTCCCGGGGCCGATGAACCGGCCGATATAGCCTCGGCGCGGCCGCCGCCAGCCCGGCCCGCCGCTGTCGACGGCCAGGTCAACAAGGTCAACACGGGGGCGGGCGGGCGACACGACTGGAAATGACATTGGCCCGGCCCGCTGAAATAGCCAGTGACGCGCTTGGGGCCTGAGATGCAGCGTAACTGTCCAGTGTCCCCACGTCAAGAGTTACAAATGAAAACCAAGATTCGGAAAATAGCAGCATCCCACGAAACAATCCTTAGCTAATGTCCGATGGCCACGGTCAATGGTCAGAGATATGGGGGTTGGTCTTAAATAAATAATGCAGCTAACCAATGGACGCCAAAATTCAACAATGATATATATCTAGCTCAATCGGCAGTATCAACGCAATAACATCACTAGCTAAGCCCGATGAACAAATGATGAGCACCAATAAATAACAGTAAAGAGCAGCACAAACTACCGGAAAGGAGTAAAACTTGGCAGCAGCTACAATCAACACGCGGCAATGTCCCAAAATTTGTCGATTTGGGTGGGAAACGACATCCAAATGAAATTCATTTTCCACTCTCACCACCAATTTTTAAGAACAATTTTCCACTCCTAACCAAGAAAACCGAGAGTTTTTACCTATAGAAAGAGCAGTTGTGTGGATGCCCGGTTTAGCATCAAGCATCCTACACCTTAGAATAAAATGCATGCTTTTTGTTGTTTTTCACTCTTTTTGGATATAATCGAATCAGCAGTTTTTCACTCTCTCCCCTCTTTTTGGTGGGTAATTTTCCCCTCTGACACCCAAGACAAAACTGAATTTTGGGACACTGACACGCGGAAACAGCAACACTCAGGTCTGACCTTTACCGTTCCTCGTCCACTGGAGGATACTCAGGAGCCTCCGCATTTCTCCTGAAGAACCCGCTCCCCAGTGACCTCGCCGCACCACGGCATTCTGTATTGCTGGGTGAGCGGACCACTGCGAAGGTTCGTATTTTCACACAAACCTACCACTGCTGTTTTCATGAGAAAAACATCTATCGGATAGATACTACATTTCAGCTTCATCACATTGTCCCAACCTCTCGTCTCATGCAAGCCAGCATCCTATTCTCTTTCACAAAGAAGCCATCCTCTCACCTCAAAGCCCCCCCCCCCCACATCCCCAGCGGCCCGACCTTTGTCCCCCGCTCTGACCTCTGTCCTATACGGCAGGTCCGGTCACGAAGCCTCAGCTTTGGAGCGGCCGGGCACTTCCAGCTCCCGTAGCTTCGGAGGCGCGTGCTAGCGGCCGGCCGGGGCGCCGGCCTTAGTTCATGGTCCAGACATGTGCCTCATAAAGGGCCATTACCTCACAGCCAAGGCACCAGATGCTTGGGACGTAACGTGACCGGGGTAAGTGCGGAGGACGGGGTGGCTCCACTAAAAACTACAGACTGACGAAAGAATGTCAGCTTCGATCTACTCAGAATTGCTCAGAGGCATCATTATCAAATTAAAACGAGAGCCATGGTTCAAAGTCAGCATCAATTCTGCGCGGAATAACATAAGTTGCATTCCGCCATGCTTTCATCCATTTGATTCCAATGACACTACCTTCTCCCAGGCGCTCGCTAGATGAGCATCCATATATAAAAGCTGACCCGTTCGCACATATCATATGGGACATTTTCATTCGCCACTGAGCACATATTCTACGGGAACGAGGCCGCAGGAAGCCGACTAGACACCACCGCAAATCACGGACTGCATTAGATGGGCGCCGCGTTCGTCCGCCTTATTTGGCCCACTAATGCCGCGCGATTTGTCCACTGTGCACTTTAGGGAGCCCGGTGGCACATTGAGCGGTTATGCCGCCATCCCGGCGAATTTAGTGCCGCCGTTTGATGGCTCCCGAGCCACCGAGCCACAATCGCGCCGGCCATGAGGCCAACAACAGATCGCAGCGCTATGGCTGCCGTGCGGACATTAGTTCCGATTTCAGGGCGAAATTGGCGTGGCGGCTCGCCATTTCCGGCCGCAAATACTTGGCCAAAATGTGGGGCGGTCGTACGGGGTAGTTACACAGTGTGTAGTAACTAGGTCAGGAAAGAGTGGATAGAGGGGGAAGTGCCCTCGCATCTCTTCATCTAGCTGGGGTCGCTCGAGTAATTACTTAATAGCAATTACTCTGTATTAGAATACGTGGGAATAGGATGTCCTCACGCACACACCACAAAAAAAAAATAGCAACGCGTCAGCACGCATTATCGTCCATAGACTGAGACACCATGATCTGGCGAACACAGCTCTAGGGCGATCCGGTTGGTCCCGCCAAACTGGCGAAAACCAGCCGCCAGTCCACTGAGACCAGGGACCTGTGGGGACGGAGTCGCACCGTGCCCACACCGCTGCGGCAAATGGAGAGGAAGGCGCACCGATCACAATCCTGGTCACGCGCACAGGGGCGCTCTGTCGCCCACGGCGCCCCTTGCCCGGGGAGAGCGCGCCGCGCCGGGATCCGCGTGCCGGCGCAATACGAAAACGGCCCGGCGAATACCACGCGCCGGGAGCGAGGGGTCGGCCCAGACGCTGGCGAGACTGAATGTGCATTGATTCTCTTCAGATTGGATTACCCACGCTACCTGGAAAGGGTTTCATCTCCACGTCGACTTCAGTGACCAACACTAACAGGAAATAACAAAGTTAACGATTTAGCGCGCGATGCGGCAGCTTTCCTGGTAAAGTACATTCAGTAAGCATTTCAGCATTAGGCGGAGTCTAAACGAAATGAGAAGGCCCAGATTCGTACAGCTTCTCTCGCTTTTGACGGCAAATAAGTATCTCGAGAAATGCTTTTACGGGAGATGAGTTCGCAGTCTCAATCTTCGGTATTTCTCCACCGGTACTTACAACGAACGTTATCATTCGACCATGGCCGACCACTAAATGGACAATGGCCGATAAAACGGACAATAAAATTATGCCATCTCCGAAATAAAGAAGTCCAAAGAGCGAACTTTATATACCTTTCCTGATACCGCCATCACATATTTTACCCGGCTGAGACCCTGCGAACGGGCCGATAGCATTGTGCGCTGAATGAGTGCCTGAAATAAAGTGACCTTCACCCTGCCGATAAGAACTTCATAGTTCATTCAGCAGAACTTCCGAGCGGGCCGCCTGGAAATCGGAAAACGCTCGCCAGGCGCCACACAATCAGTCTGTCCAAGACGGAAGTCGGCGGCCGCTGTTGTGCCCCCCCCCCCCTCATCCAGCCCGCTGCCCCATCCCCGGCAGCGCTGCCAGCTCCTTACCCTTCTGTTGCGCTCCACGAGGTTCTTGAAAGCGATCTGACGGAGCACCAGGTCCTTGAGCTGCTGTGTCTTTTCCTTGATCCTCTGACGACAGGCGGCTTCCTCTTCACTGTTATCAGGAGGTTCCTGAAGCAAAGGGAACGGCCGGGGTCATAGAAAGTCACCGCACCAAACTATCCATCAAACATTGGTGCATAAGCAGAGAGAGTGGCGCAGATTTTTCCGTGGCACTAATGCACGGTTGTTCATAGCTCCTGACCTGTAGCTGGACTGTCCCAAAGCACCGAAAAGGTCATGGATGTAGTTACCTATTTGCGTACTACATATTTGCGTGACAATCTTATCAACACACAATCGTTGATCAAAATTATAGAATATCAAGTACATCCGTACCCGTAAGAAATATGAATTTAAAACGTCAATTTGCTGAATGCAAACTACAGAAACATCAAATTAAAGGTCAAAATTTCCTTAAACAATAAGGTAATAAGGTAACCAATCACAGCCTATGGCAAGGGTCATGAGGTCGATGTTGCATTGTCCCTCGGCATATTCACGTCCATTGAGCAAGACAATGCTATTTTGTATCGCGAAAGCCGGGCATTCAGCGGCACACAACAATATCACAGTGTGTTTAGGGTTGTTAAGCTTCATTTGTGTGCATAAAGACAAAATATGCAGCAATTTCACACGAAAAAGCAGCAGAGTACTGACGATGTTTCAGACATCAGCCGCTTCCATGGAAAGCATTTGCCGTTTACGGTCGGAGTCGCCGTTTCCGACCGGTCCCGGGCCCATGTCGACTGTCGTTCTGCAGACCAATGCAGCCATTATCCGGCTCAGCACCGGAGACCAATGCCGACGACACACATAAAGCCACAGGGAAGGAGGAGGAGAAACTCCGGTGCTACAGTCGCTTCCGCTACCGCTGCCGCTGCCGCTGCCGCTGCCGCTGCCCCTGCCGCCGCCACCGCCACCTTCCCCATCCCAGAGAAGCACTGAACATTTTGTCCCCGTTAGTCTGACAAAAGGTTCAGTTTTCACTGTTCCGTATGGTGACAGTATATCCAGACCCGTCCGTCGTCTCAGCCGGTGCCAAACTCGCTCGCCGAGTGTCCTGTCCGTCCCCGGCGTCCACTGTGGAGCACATAGAGCCATTCGGGAGTTCCGGGGTCGCGCAGGGTTCCCCGGGGCATCATTGAGTCACCGGAGCGTCCCGAAGGCCGGCCCGTAACGGCCGGGTCGCCGGGGGTCAGTTCAGTGGGCAGAGTCCGCGCTGGGGCCACGGTACCGTCTGCTGGACCCTGGGACCGCGGCCCGGCTCGGCCCGGCGGACCTGCCCTGAAGCCGGGGACCGCGGTCCGACCCGGCGGAGCTGACCCGGACCCGCGGACTGTTGTCTTAGAGAGGAGGCACTGACCCAGACCCTGGGGCCGCTTACTCGGTCTGGCGGCACTGATCTGGACCCTGGGATTACTTACCCAGTCTGGTGGCAGTGGTCCGGACCCAGAGATTACTGTCCCAAACAGGAAGCACGGACCAGCCCCCAGGAGTACCGTCCCAGGGAGAATGGGCTCGGCTCAGGGATCTCGGACAGCCGTTCTGACCCAGCAATGGCTCTTAGTCGGCTGCAGCATCCTATTCCGTCCCTTCAAATGCATGCCAATCATGGTATCGTCCAGAGAGCCGAGAGCGGCAAGAGAGAACATAATGGCCGTATGAGAACCGGAAGAGAACAAGCGTGATACGACGCTGACTGAGTTCTATTGAAAGACACGCAAACGCAAGCAAGGGCGCTCATATTTAGCATAAACACATCAAGTGAGAAAGCGCTCTGATAGGTAGCAGCTTCGCCAAAGTAGGTACCTTACTGAATGAGGGATAAATGGCTTATCAAAGAACCTGCTTTATATTCATAGCCCACGAAAGAGATTCACGCAATACGTGAGAAAAAATATGAAACGAAAAAGTAGAGCGAATTAGAGACTCAAAATAAAAACAGGTCTTGGAAAGGTAGGAAAGCGCTGCTGACTTTACTAACAAAACGCGGCACATACCGCTAGTCAAGTGCAGCCAATGATCCGACAGTAAACATTGGATAATGAACAAATAAGGATGAATCACACACTACTGAAGTTTCTTTAGCCTGATTCAACATGGGTGTGTACCAAGAGGTAATATGTGACAATGGTAGGTACTAGGCATGCATGCCATGTCACAAATTGCTAACATTTCTCATCTCGTTTCATGCCAACCAATAAATAAATCAATAAGAGCACGCAAAAAGCGAGAGCCAATCATCGTAGAGACCATTCTCAAGAACCACAAAACACAGAATATAAACGGCACTCATAAATGAGAAGCCTGAAGTCCCACAGCAGATGGTTCCATGAGACGTGGCTGGCATCCAAAAGAAGAGATAGGAGCCATAAGATATAAAATCCGCAGGAGGCACTTGCCATAAACATTCCCCAGAAGACCGAGCAGAAATTATGGCCATTGGAACACACAAAGAATAACTGATGCATGGCTTATGGCGAATAGGCATTTACAAAAAGATTGAGGAATGATTGAGCACTATAGACAGTGGACCATGGGCATACAACAACTCAGTTTCATACCTAGGTCGTTCTGCTTAACGCAGTGGCGTCTTTAGTGCTCGACAGAAACAAGCCAGGCCGTCTTTTACACAGCCCGCTATTTCGTTCCACATCCGGTATGCATGTGCTCCGCCCTCGTATCGCCGTAAACCTGTCCTGAGTGTTCAGACGTGGGCTGCGGCACCGGTCCGAAAGGCAATCCTTTTCTCTGGATCGTCTCTCCCCTTATAACCGGACCCGGGCCAGTCCCCGAGCGGGTCCGAGCCAGCACCCGAGCCTCCCCCGCGTGGGTTCGAGCCCGCCCCCCAGCAGAGCCCAGTCCACCCCGTGGGTTCCAGCAGTCCCCGAGCGGGGCTGACCCGATCCCGAACCATTTCCAAACCGTCTAAGACTCTCTCCGACGAATCCGAACCCCTCCACAGCTCTGTCTGAGCGACGTAAACCGCCTCGGGCGCACATCCGTCAGCCGAATCTGCGGCCATCGTGCGGCCCATGGACGAAATGAGCGGCCGTTTGGGCGGCCGTCGAGCCCCAGCGCCGCCGGCAACGTGCAGGAAATGTGTCCATTGGCTAGACGATGTGGGTGGCGGGAGAACGGCCCGAGCAGACGGCTTCCGGCTCATCGGCATGCGAGCAGAACGGAATGGCCAAACATGGAATTGAGCCTCTGAGATGGGCCCGTGAAAATGGACCGTAAGATGAGAGACCGATGAAGGATGGAGACGGAAGCGGTTTTGTGGCATAGAGTTGGCAGGAAAAATAGGCTGTTCACAGTGACGGATACCGGTACTTATTAGATTATTGCTACCTGTAAAGCATGTGAGCAAATAAACACTTTCCAAAAAGACGTTCTGACTCATGACAGTCTTACAAAATGCCATCATCTAGCCTAAAGCCCAGGAACTGTCTGCTCATGGCGCAAAACCGTACCGTACAATGTGACGAATTAGGAAGATCACCAGCGTGCGACATATCTTGATTACGCTCGACATTACATCCTAATGGACGGGGAGAGATCATTGCTATAAACATAGACTCAGTCAGCTGTGACGTCAGTGCCGTAACCTACGGCGGTGGACTTCTGGGAGAAAACGCAGGGCTCCCCACCGACATGTGGTATGGATACCTGACGGCATCGCACTGTGCTTAGAAGAGACCGCCGCTGCCTTCTATGAAAGTAGAAAACATAAAAGCGTAATTTTGCCGAGATGGCAACAAAACGGAGTGCCTACAAAAGATCGTCAGCGAATTCACACTTCCGAGGCCGACTGGAGAAAGAACAGATTGAAAACGGAAATGCTGTAAAAAGTCCAGAACCGGTTCAATGATGGAGAGGTATTTGAGGCCGTTCAAAGTCGTTTTCACTCCCGGCCGAATACGGAGCGGATGAGGCCAACAGCCGGGTATTTGGTGGCAAGTAAGCCATCTGCCGTGAAATCCGTCTCTGTTCCATTCGACGGGAAATGGAGTGCTACATAAGGCAGCAAAGCAGCAGCTTTCAATGAATAAATTGCAATAGTATTTACCAAGAAGGCGCGGAACAACAAAGAGTAGAACTTATCACTTATTCAAAGGTTAAGAACATCTTTCAAATACCACAATACGAGGAGCACAAAAGCCTGAATTCATTTAATATCAACAAAATGTATCAACAAAAATATCAACAAAAATACAAAAATATCAACAAAATCACAAGTGATCGCGGTGAGTCCCGCTGGAAAATGAAAGTTCCCCAATCGTATTACATTCCTAAAAACAAGCGATCATAAATAACGATACTATACTACCAGCATGTCAGACAGCCTGTGATCCGAAATAGCAGAAACTGCGTCACAAAGCGCCACCGATCACGATTGCCAGCGTCCGCAGGTCACGCCAAACAAATTTGTTATCCCGATTATCCGTTTATCCGATCGGCTGGACACTGCCGATGTCGGCTGACGATGCATCAAAGCCCAGCCGAAAAACAACGGCCAAATGAACTCGCAAATGGAGCGATCTGATTGATAGCACTGATCTCTCTGAGGTCTGACAAGCAGCACATCATAACGTGATGCCACTAAAAACAAAAGTTCATAGAGACAGCGACGCGATGTCAGCCAAAATAACGTACGTTGAATGATACCGAAATCGTTTGATGAAAAAATTATGCCAACGACATTAAAACGTTTGTGGTAACGACAAATCACGCACAAAAGTTCAGGAAATGGAATACGTCAGGACCAGGAGCCCGAACATCAGGAGCTGAAACTTCATTGCGCCGCAACTCTCTTTGAAAACTACATTTCGTATTTGGCCCTTTTCACTTTTTATGCATCTAAAAGCCCACGAAGCCTTCAAACACCTTCAAATTATGTTCATCAAAAAGTTCGCAAAGCTTGCAACATCAGAGAAAATGTACCGCACTCCGCAGGTCGTGTACCGGCAAACAGGCACAGCATACGTTGCACGTTGTTTATGCATATCAAACAGCCGAGACATCCATTATTCATTGTTGTCATTGCAGGGCGACCTATAAGTGGCATC